CACAAATTAATCAACATGACACACCAAATAAGATAAAGGCAAAAGTCATATCCTTTCAACAGATGAAGAACAAATATTTGAAAAAATTCAACAGCCATTTATGATATAGAAGATCTTTACAAAGTAGTTATAAAGAGATTATACCTCAACAAAATAAATATCATATGACAAACCCTTAGCAAACATCCTACTCAACTGTGAAACGCTGAAAGCTTTTCTTCTGAGATCAAACACAAAGCAAAAATGCATCCTCTCATCACTTTTATTCAACATAGTTTTGGTAGTTCTAGCCAGAATCATCAGGCAAGCAAAAGAAAATAAGAACATCCAAATCTGAAAGGAAGAGTCAAAACTGAGACACTATTGAAAACTTTAAGACATTGTGAAAGATATTAAAGAAAGCACAAATAAATTGAAAGATAATCTGTGCTCATGGATTGGAAGACCTAATATTGTTAAAATGCTCATACTCTTCAAAGAAGTATGGAGAAGGAAATGGCAACCCACTTCAGTATTCTTGCCTGAAAAATCCCATGGGCAGAGGAGCCTGGTAGGCTACAGTCCATGGGGTCGCAAAGAGTCGGACATGACTGAGCAATTTCACTTTCACTTTCACATAAAGCAACCTACAGATTCACTACCATTCTTATCTAAATTTCAATGAAAATTTTCACAAATATAGAACAAACAATTCTAAAATTTGTGTGGAACTACAGAAGACCCTGAATAGCCAAAGAAATCTTGAGAAAGAATGATAGAAGTGTCATGCTTCCTGATTTCAAACTATATTACAAAGCTGTATTAATCAAACAGTATGATATTGCTATAAAAATGGACACAGAAATCACTGGAACAGAATAGTGATCCCAGAAATAAACCCAAATATATGTGGTCAATCAATTTATGACAGAAAAAAAGTAGAGAATACACCATCGGGAAAGGACTGTCTCTTCAAAAATGGTGTTGGGATCCCTCTGGGTTTTCCCAGTGCACCAGCCCTGAGCACTTGTCTCATGCATCCAACCTGGGCTGGTGATCTGTTTCACCCTTGATAATATACATGTTTCAATGCTGTTCTCTCTAAACATCCCACCCTCCCACAGAGTCCAAAAATCTGTTCTGTACATCGGGTGGAGAGGGAGGTGGGAGAGGGGATCGGGATGGGGAATACATGTAAATCCATGGCTGATTCATGTCAGTGTATGGCAAAACCACTACAATATTGTAAAGTAATTAGCCTCCAACTAATAAAAATAAATGGAAAAAAATGGTGTTGGAAAAGCTGGACAGTTACATGCAAAAGAATGAAATTGAAAAACTCTTACACCATTCACAAAAATTAACTCAAAATGGGTTAAAGACTTGATCATAAGTCCTAAAACCATAAAAATCCTAGAAGAGTGGCTTCCCTTGTGGTTGTGGTAAAGAATCCACCCACCAATGCAGGAGACTCAAGTGTGATCCTTGATCCAGGAAGATCCCCCATGCTACAGAGCAACTCAGCCCATTGGCCACAACTTTTGAGCCTATGCTTTAGAGACCAGGAACCGCAACTGTTTTTTTTTTTAAGTTTTTTTTTTCATTTATTTTTATTAGTTGGAGGCTAATTACTTTACAATATTGTAGTGGTTTTTGTCATACATTGACAAGAATTAGCCATGGATTTACATGTATTCCCCATCCCGATCCCCCCTCCCACCTCCCTCTCGACCCGATCCCTTTGGCTCTTCCCAGTATACCAGGTCCGAGCACTTGTCTCATGCATCCAACCTGGGCTGGTGATCTGTTTCACCCTAGATAATATACATGTTTTGATGCTGTTCTCTTGAAACATCCCACCCTCGCCTTCTCCCACAGAGTCCAAAAGTCTGTTCTATACATCTGTGTCTCTTTTTCTGTTTTGCATATAGGGTTATCATTACCATCTTTCAAAAATATGGAACGCTTCACGAATTTGCGTGTCATCCTTGTGCAGGGGCCATGCTAATCTTCTCTGTATCGTTCCAATTTTAGTATATGTGCTGCCGAAGCGAGCACAGAACCACAACTATTGAGCCCACATGCCACAACTACTGAAGCTCGGTGCCCTCTAGCCTGTTCTCCTCAACAAAAGAAGCCACTGCAATAAGAAGCCTGTGCAATGCAATGAAGAGTAGCCCCTGCTCACTGCAAGTAGAGAAAAGCCTGTGCAGCAACAAAGACCCAGCACAGCCAAAAATAAATAAATTTTAAAAATTATTTTTTAAAAATCCTAGAAGAAAAATGAGGATGAAAAAGTCCTGATGATGAAAAAATCAATCATCATGAGTGTATTTTGGGTTTGATGCCAAAAGCAAAAGCAACAAGAGCAAAAATAAGCACTGGAACTACAGAAAACTAAAAAACTTCTGCACAACAAAGGGAATAGGTCAACAAAATAAAAAGGTGTATGGAGTTGGAGAAAACATTTGCAAATTACATTTCTGACAAGGGTTAATATCCAAAATACTTAAAGAATTCATACGTCTCAATAGCAAAAGCAAACCAACAAACAATCTGATTAAAAAATGGGCAGAGGACCTGAATAGACATTTTTTTTTTCAAAGAAGACATAAAGCAGACCAACAGGTACGAGAAAAGGCACACAATGTTATGTCATCAGAAAAATGCAAACCAAACTATAATGGGGTAATATCTCACATCTGTTAGTATGGCTTTTATCCAAAAGACAAGAAATAACAGGAGTCGGTGAAAAAGCAGAGAGAAGGCAAACATTGTGCACAATTGGGCGGGGAGGGGGGAAATGTAAGTTGATGCAGCCACTATGGAGAACAGTATTGAGGTTCTTCAAAAATTAAACTGTCATATGGTTCATCAATTTCACTTCTGGGTATTTATCTGAAGGAAACAAAATACCAACTTGAAAAAATATGTGCAACCCAATGTTCATTGCAGCATTATTTACAATAGCCAAACAATGTAAGTCTTCACTGATGGATAAATGGGTAAGGAAAATGTGATATGTATGTATGTCCAGCCAACAAAAAGAAGAAAATCCTGCCATGTGTAGCAACATGGATGAACCTTGAGGCATTATGCTAAGTGAAATAAATACCATATGATCTAATTTATATGTGGAATCTTAAATCAAATGCAAAGAAAAAAAAAAGGGTTCAGAGATGCAGAGAACAGTTTGGTAGTTTCCAGAGGTGGCTTGATGTGGGCAAAACAAGTGGAGGTAGTCAAAAGGTACAAACTTGCAGTTCTAAAGTGAATTCCATGAAGATGTAATGTACAGCATGGTGACTACAATGAATTCTGTATTGTATACTTTAAAGTTGGTAAGAAAAACTCTCCTCATAATCAAAAAATTGTAGTGATATATGGTGATGGATATTACTAGACTTATTGTGGTGATCATTTACCAATATATAAGCATTACATTTTACACCTGAAACTAATATAATGTTATGTGAATTATATCCAAATTAAAACTCTAAATAACAAGGTTGAAATGTGGATTAAATTAGCTCCATCCTAACGTCATTTTGTGGACCCAACTTAATCTCATCACTTAGATATTTTAAAATATAAAATCTCACTACTGACATCCTACAGGGTTGGGACAGACACACAGAAAGAGATAGTAAGTCACCTGCACACGAGATATAGGCTTCCTCCTTGGGAGAGCAGGAAGTGTAATTCCAAGGGTCAGAAGGACACTGCCAGAGAGAGTTATCAGTGTTTCGACACCGGATTCCATCTACCCACCGGGGTCTAGAACCTTCTCTAAGAGCAACAGAAGAGCTGAGACTTCCACTGTCCCCACAGCCAAGCTGTCTGCAGATCATGGACACGGTGATGTCTTCCATGGGGCTGCGGCAGACACTACCCCAGGTCCCGTTGTAGAAAACTTCCAGCCACCCAGCACACTGCTGGTCCTCACTCACGATCCTGAGGGCCAGGAACTCTAAGATTGAAACGGAGGGAATGGAACACAGTAAGCTCTGCACTCAGTGCTCTGGGTTTTCCTCTCTCCTGGAAATTGTGAACACTCACCCCGACCCAGCTGAGGAGATACCCACTAGGTGACAAGACTGAAATCTGTCTCCCTTTTACTTGACTTTGTCCATTAATGTCTGTCTTTCTATTTCTACCACAATGATGTAGTGAATACAAACAGAAAGACCAACATAGGCAACTGCAGGGAAGGGCCCTGAGCCTTGCTTCCTGATTAAACCTGTAAAAGAGCATGTGAAAGGGATGTAGGTAGTGGAGAAACAGGCAGAACAGTGTATCCCCAAATGTCTAATGTTCCAGTCTTTCAATCCTGTGAATGTTGCCTTATATTTCAAAAGGGATTTTACAGATATTATTAAGACAAGAAACTTAGGAGCTTGGGATGGTGAGACTAACCTGCAATATTATGAATTAACCATCTAAACCCAATCTAATTACCCCTAAAATTGGAATACTCTTCCTGAGTGTGTTAGAGGAAGATGAGACACTGAAGAACGGTCAGAGGAAGAGAACGCTGTCTGAAGAAGAAGATGGGCCCCAAGCCAAGGAATGAGGCCACATAGGAACCAGAAAAGACTGGGAAAGGAGTCCTCCCCAGGGCCTCCAGGAAGAACGCAGCCCTGTGGACACTGGGATATTGGTCTAAAGAGACCCTCGTCAGACTCCTAGCGTACAGAACTGAACAGTAAATCTGTGCTTTCATTACAACAACAGGATCTCCAGACTGTACTACCACAGGGAACTGAAGAAAAAGCCCTGCTTTCATGTGGAAACCGTAAGAAATGGCTCTGCCAGGAAACACTGCTGAGAAGAAAGGACCAGAATCTCAGCTGCTGCAGGAGGAAGTGAAAGCACCTCATCTTCACGTCTGCTGGAAACACAGGCTCCATGGGAGGAAGCCGCCTTCTCTGGTCTTTTCAGCATCTCTCCCTCAGGGCTCAGAACCCCGTCTTCCAGGGCCCCACCCCTCCCCCAAACTGTGGACAGTGTGCAGCCCAGACCTGAGCAGACGACCCCCGCATCCTGCTTGTGTCTGCAGTCGTGCCGCCCCCAGCCCCGGGAAGGGCACCTCCACACGTGGGACTCATTTCCTGTGCAGTTCAGGTCGTCCAGCCAGATGGGTCCTGATCCTGCCCCAAAGTGAGCAGACCCCGTGGCATTGAGGGCTTCTCCACAGCCCAGCTGCTTGCACACCACGCGGGCATCGTCCAGGTCCCAGCCGTCATCACAGATGGTGCCCCAGGAGCCCTGGTCCAGGATCTCCACTCTCCCGGCGCAGGGACCGCCCCCGTCCACCAGGCGGAGCTGTCTGCTATCTGAGGAGAGAGAAATCGGACAACGGGCAGTGACCTGGACGGTGATCCCGGTCGGGTGTGCGTGGTGGGGGGCGGCGGATGAGAAGTGCCTTCTGTCCTGTAGGACCCTCACCTGAGCAGTAAGCGCTCTCCTCTGAGGCTGCAGAGCCTGTTGGTTCAGAGAGGGAGTCGCTGCACTGGGGCACCTGAGTCTGGTTTCCTGCAGAAATAGCAATGATCAGAGGAACACGAGTTAAAGCAAACTCCGGGAGATAGTGAAGGATAGAGAAGCCTGGCGTGCTGCATTCCAGGGAATTGAAAGAATTGGACACGACTGAGCGACTGAACAGCAGCACATAATCTTTGCTGTTACATTCACTGAGACGTGAGGTCTGTGCCTCCTTCCTTTGAAGTTCTGCTGACCTTCGTGAATTCCTAGTAAGTAATGCTGCTGCTGCCAAGTCACTTCAGTTGTGTCCAACTCTGTGCGACCCCATAGACGGCAGCCCACCAGGCTCCTCAGTCCCTGGGATTCTCCAGTCAAGAATACTGGAGTAGGTTGCCGTTTCCTTCTCCAATGCATACATGCTGCCAAGCTGCCCCAGTCATGTCCGACTCTGTAGTAACAGAAGGGAGTTAAGGTAAAGTTACTTGACTCTCAGCAGTAGGTCTGAAAACTCTTGCAACCTCCTGTGAAATCACTGAGGACTATTGCTTTAGGGCAAGTCTGCCCTGTTGAGACTCTCGTCCTATGCAGGTCTCTGGTCACTCAGTTCAACCCAGCTGACCTTCCAGCTGCCAGGCTTGTCCTCATGAACCATCCTGGATCCCCAGCCCAGTTGTGTCCTCAGGTGATGTCAGCCCAGTATCCTGCTTGTGTCTGCAGTCGTGCCGCCCCCAGCCCCGGGAAGGGCACCTCCACACGTGGGACTCATTTCCTGTGCAGTTCAGGTCGTCCAGCCAGATGTGTCCTGATCCTGCCCCAAAGTGAGCAGACCCCGTGGCATTGAGGGCTTCTCCACAGCCCAGCTGCCTGCACACCACGTGGGCATCATCCAGGTCGCAGCCGTCATCACAGATGGTGCCCCAGGAGCCCTGGTCAAGGATCTCCGCTCTCCCGGCGCAGTGACTGCCCCCGTCCACTAGGCGGAGCTGTCTGCTGTCTGAGGAGAGAGAAACCTCTAACCTTATCAACCTGATAAGACTCCAAGACGATACAAATCAGAGCACTTCCCAAATTCCTTCCCAAACTCCAGGAAATCATGAGCAAAAGTAAAAAGGGATTATAATATGCTAAGTTTTGTGGGAAATTTGGTTATGCAGCAGTAGTAACCAAACACTTATAATTACCATACTACTAAGTATTTACGGAAGACAAAGGGAGTTTTTGTTTTCAGAAGAAAAGTACATGCATTTGTATATGCATATACTTGTATATGCATATACAAATTTCTATATGCATATATACCAAGGAATGAGGCCACATACAAATGAAGCCACTATACAAATAGTATAAATTTGTATATGCATATGCATAGCATCTTTATCCATAATGGCCCAAATTTGGGATGCCACCTAAAACATGTGACATTGCTTTTGGAACAAAGTAACAGGCAGGAGCTAGAAGGGGTGGAGGAGGTTAAGAGCAGAAGCCTGATAGGCTTGAGCAATGCTGTCAGTGAGGATCGAAAGGAAGTGAAGAAATAAAATTGGGGCTGAAGGAAAAATATATGGTGATATTTATGCAAAATAAAATGGTTGCTGTAAGTGACAAGATTTTGAAGTACTTTGTTGCTGGGCAACAGTAACCAGAAACACCTTTCTTCAGTCTCAGCAACTATAGAGTAAAACAAGCAAAGCCAGTCACTAAATATTTAGAACATTTGAGTGGGGTGATTTAACAAATATACCTCTCAAAACTAGAAAATGCACCTTATTCCAAGCCTTTATAGGTCGTTTTTAAAGGCTGATCATATATTATACAAAAAGTGAGATCCAAAAAATTTTCAAAGGGTAAAAGAATTAAAAACATGTTTGTTTTTTTTTTTACTAGAGTAGAAGTAAGCTGAAAACAAAAGACAAATAGTAAAATCTTCTGTTGTTTGTTTAGTAGCTAAGTTGTGTCTGACTCGTCAGTCTCCTCTATCCATGGGATTTCCCAGGCAAGAATACTGGAGTGGGCTGCCATTTCCTTCTCCAAAAACCTTCTGTAGTGAGGTATAATTTTCATGCATTAAAATACATGTATTTTGAGTATGTTTTCATAAGTTTTGGCAGTTGCATGTGCCAGCATAACCATTACTACAGTTAAAATTCAGACTATATAGGATTATTCACAAAGTTCCTGTATGCCTCTTGCAACCAATAAAAGCCCCACAAACCCAGACCCAGGCAAATACTGATCTGTCTTTTATCATAAATAGATTAGTTATGTTTTGTGAGAATTTAATAAAATCATACAGTATGTAATCCCCTTTAGATGGTTTCTTTCACTTAGCATGCTTTGAGATTTTCTGTGTAGTTGGATTTATGAGTAACTTTTTCCTTCTATTGTTAAAGTTGTACATTGTATGAATATGCCAAAGAAAGTTTTCCTTTCTTTCATTAAAGAAAGTTAGAGTGGCTTATACTTTTTTACTCTTTTAAATAAACATGTCTGACTTTTCTGCCTAAATTTTTTGTGGACATCTTTTCATCCCTCTTGGGTAACAGAAATTTGGGGTAACATAGAGTTGCTAAGAATTGTTTTCTGTTATGTTATCATCAGCAATGTATAAAGGTTCTAGTGGATCAATAACCTTCTCTAAACTTGGAATTGTCAGTCTCCTTAATTCTAGCCAGTCTAATTAATTTGTGAATTTATATCTCATATTTTAATTTGAATTTCTTTAATAACTAATGATATTTGGTATCTTTTCATTTACTTATTGGCCATTTGTATATCATCTTTGGGAAAAGTGTCTTTCTTAATATTTTGCTGATGCTTAAACTGGATAGTTATTTTATTTCTTTTTTTTTTTAATTTTTATTAGTTGGAGGCTAATCACTTTACAATACCGCAGTGGGTCTTGTCATACATTGACATGAATCAGCAATGGATTTACATGTATTCCCCATCCCAATCCCCCCTCCCACCTCCCTCTCTACCCAATCCCTCTAGGTCTTCCCAGTGCACCAGGCCCGAGCACTTATCTCATGCATCCAACCTGGGCTGGTGATCTGTTTCACCATAGATAATATACATGTTTTGATGCTGTTCTCTCAAAACATCCCACCCTCGCCTTCTCCCACAGAATCTAAAATTCTGTTCTGTACTTCTGTGCCTCTTTTTCTGTTTTGCATATAGGGTTATCATTACCATCTATCTAAATTCCATATATATGTGTTAGTATGCTGTAATGTTCTTTATCTTTCTGGCTTAATTCACTCTGTATAATGGGCTCCAGTTTCATCCATCTCATTAGAACTGACTCAAATGAATTCTTTTTAATGGCTGAGTAATATTCCATGGTGGATAGTTATTTTCTTTTTTTTTTTGTTATAAATTTTTCACTTATTCTTGTCACAAGTCCTTTGTTAGAGATATGTATTGCAATTAATTTCTCCCTATCAGTTGAATGCCTTTTAATTTTCTTAATTTTTTTTAAAAAAGCAAAAAGTTTTAATTTTAATGAAAATCACATCTCATTTTTTAATGGTTAATATCTTATCTGACTTAGGAAATTTTTGCCTACTCCACAATCATAGTAATTTTTCATATGCTTTCTTCTACCAGTTTTATAATTAAATTTTATATGGGAATAACCATTTATTTGAGTTACCCTGATGGATTGGGGTTTTTCTTCATGGTGAGGATGAGGGGAATGGTGCTTATGATGTGAAATAAGGATCATGGTTCATTTTTTTCCCTCATGCAAATATTCAATTAGCAAATCATTTTTTAAAGAGCATATATTTTCCCCTTTGAAATATCTCTATGGTTTTGTAGAATTTCAACACATACATGGGTTTGGGTCTGTTACTGAACTTTATCATGCTCTGTTGTTCTATTTAGCTATTCTTATTCAATGGCCATGTTGCTGTGGATATGGAGTAGGAAACTTGAAGTTAGCTTACTTCTTTTTGGCCCTTCTTTTTCAAAATTGTTTTGTCCATTCCACTTTTTTCACATTTAAATAAATATTTAGAATTTGCTTGTAAAGTTCTACAAAAATATTGCTTGGATTTTTATTATAATTAGATTTAGTTTGTATATTAAGTGAAGAGAATTGACAGCCTATTAAGTTTTCTAATCCATGAACATGGTATACGTCTTTATTTTTTTAGATGCTCTGTGACTTTCAATGCAAGCCCTTTAGATATTTTAAGTTTCTTCCTACATATATAATAGTTTTTATACTATAATAAATGGAATTTCCCCCTAGATTTTGCTAATAGAAAGAAGTACCACTTATGTCTGATTTATGCTTCATTGGTCACTAGTGAAGACAGTCTGTGTATATGGATGAACTATATGTAAATCATCAATCTGCAACCCTAAGCAATGTGAAAAAGCTGGTCCTGCATCTGATCAGCAGTTTCAAATTTTAAACAGCATGCTAAATAATCATTTAGCTATCCCATTTTAGTCAATATTTTTTCTGCTACTTTTATGAGTCTTTGTTTTTGAATTTTTACAGTTTAACTATAATGTTTCTGAGAAAAGGTCTTTTGCATTAGGGTTATAAGGTGACCTATTAGTTTTATCAGCTTGAATTTTCAAGCCTCTCCCAAAGTTAGAAAAGTATTATTCATTTAAATACACTTTTTCCCACTTTCTCCCTCTCGTTTCCTAGACATTTTTATGTTAGTGTAGACCCATATATCACATAGGATATAGTCTTCCTTTTTTACTCATTTTTAACCACTGATTCTATCTTTAATTTGGTCTACTCTATTGTAAATGCTCTCTGTTGCATTTTTTCCCCATTTCATTTATTAAACTCTTCAGCATCAGAATTTCTGTTTGGTTCTTTTTAGGA